TGCTGGAGCCTGGGCTGCTCCCAGCAGGGCTTGCAGTGTCCCAGCTGCCTGCTGGGAGCAGCCCAGACTCTGTGTCTGGCAGCAACTACCCAGAGCCGGGGCCAGCTGCAGCTGGGAGGCTCCAAACAGCTGCACCGGGCTCCGAATCCCGAGCATCAGCTCCATGCCAGCACGTGCACCCGTGCATCGGAGCGGGCAGTGGGGGAGGGCCCTGAGGCAACGCAACCTTGGTCTCTCCCCCGACTCCTGGCACGGAAGTGGTGACTGGGCTCCGAAGCCTGGCACAGCTGTTTATAGCCAGCCTGGGCTCTGGGCAGTTGCAGCAAGCAGCGGGCAGGCTGCAAACAGCTGCACCGGACCCCACAGCTCTGGCATCAGTTCTACGCTGGCAGTGACTGCACACACACCTCAGGACAGACAGCAGGGCAGCGCAGCCCGCCCCAAGGTGCACCTGTTTGCAGCCTGCCCGCTGCTTGCTGCAGCTGCCCAGAGCCCAGGCTGGCTCCAAACAGCTGTGCGGGGCTCCAGAGCCCAGTCACCAGCTCTGTGCCAGAAGCGGGGGAGAGACCAGGGTTGCGCTGCCTCAGGCTCCTCCCCCACTTTCTGCTCTGAGGCACACCTGCACATGCCAGTACAGAGCTTATGCTGGGGATATGGAGCCCAGCACAGCTGTTTGGAGCCTCCTGGCTGCAACCGGCCCCGGCTCTAGGTAGCTGCTGCTAGCCAGGAGCCCAGGCTGAGGGGCAGGGGCAGCTGGGCTGGGGGGAACAGGCTTTCGGTGGGGGGCAAGGGGCACACACATCCTGCCATGTACCCCCTGCCCTCATTTTGTTTTTCTGGCATGCTGGCACTCCAGCACCTTCCAAGGTAAGCATTGTAGGGGTTTTCGGCACTCAGGCCAAAAAACGTTGCCTACCCCTGGTCTAAAGGCTACTCACAGACTGATGAAACAATATTTTCATTGTTGATAAACAAAAGAGGGGAAGAACAGAAGGGCCGGCCTCTTTAAAGAGAAAAACAGCCCCGGGTCTAATGGCTCATCAATTAAGCAATTAGCTGATCATTCACAGGTGCCAGGAAGTGAGGTGGAGGGAGATAACAGGCTACTTAAACCCCTACTTAAAGCCCAGAAAAAGGCTGTTCCTGATGCCTGAATGGGACAACTCAGCTGCAGCAAACTGGGAAGAGACTGTAAAAAAAGGAGAAGCAGCCTACTGTTGAGACTGGTATACAAACAGAAGGACTCCAATTAGAAAGGATATAAGTTTTGGTGTTTTCTTGACCTTTTTGTTGTTGGGTTGGTTTGTTGTTTGTTTTTTGTTTTTGTTATTTCAGGGGTGGAAGATCTTTACGTTGCTAATTTAATTGAAAATCAATAAAAATTTAAATAAATGCTCAAAATAAACACTATTATCTGTCAGAAAGTTTTAAAAAATGAATTCTAGCCTAATTAAATAGTATTTCAAGTAATGGAGACTACTGGCATCATGTCTCCACTATCTGCCACAATGTTGCTTTCGCAGCCTGAGGTGAACTAATAAGTAGCAAAGATTTCCTAGTGTAAACAAGAAGTCATTCTAATCCCCAAGTACGTTTCATAAGAACTATTGTAACAGCTTTTGGCTTCACCGCATTGGCCAACTACAAGGTGTTAAAAGCATTTTAGCTTAACAGTGTTTAAAGCTGCTTCAGGGAATACTTAACATTTTAATAAGAAGTACAGTGAATAGGACCTACTAAAAGGGGAAGCAGAGCAGGAAATACACTATGAGGTTTCTTGGTTAAATTTCTTCCCTTTTATGCAATGTCCCTCTCAAATGCCGTTACATTTTTTTAAATATGTCAATCAGCTTTTGATTCTTGCCTGCATCAGGTCCTTGGCTTTTAAGACTCAATGCTAACTGCCCCTTAGTGATGACTTCTGGTCACTTTTATTCTGTGACTGCTCTGTTCGGCAAGCAACACCTCTACAAACCCACCATGCCAATAAATATTAGTGAATTTACTGACCGGTACTTTTCTCTTGTTCAGGGACATACCTGGGCACTTCAGGACCCTGCGTGAAAGCCCCTGGAGTAACATCAGTGACTTCTATTTTTGTGTTCCTATCTAACTTGGTACCTGGGGCTGAGGCCCTGGTAACCCTGGCCCTCTTAATTATGCTGCTGTTCCAGATACAAGATACCATTGCAAGAATCCCAATTAAAACCGCTCTAAAATCATGAGTTTTATGTTGGAAAAAAAGTCAAAATCCTGCAAAATTTTTCCAGTGAGCTTCCCAAATGTATATAATGAAAAAAGACTGCAAGTTTGGTCCCCGTGTGGTTAGTAAACACTGTTAACACAGACTTAGTTTCAAGATGCAGTTAAAGTTTAGCTATAGTACACTTCATAAAAGAACCACATTTCAAATGTGTGAGGATTCCTGACAAAGTTTTATTTGTATTATAAACAAAAGTCTAACTCTAAATCTATTAAGTAAACTTCTAACCTCCACTTATAATTTTATGCCTCGAAAAATAGTATTTTGATCTCTAATTATTTAGCATAAAACAGAATTTTCAATTTATTTTTTATGAGACATCCTACCAAATATTCAAAACTTTATAATTATCATCAGCATCAAATCAGACCTTGCTATGATGGGTAAAATAAGATGAGCTGTCTTGGAAAAACAGTAATTTCACACAATGAGTGATACATAAAATAGTCATTCATAATAAGTATACCATATTTCACTCCCAGCAGGCTTTATAAGCCTATTAATAAATAATCAGAGAACCACTGCGTATGCACTGTATAGTCTAATAAAGCGGACTGAGCATGCAATATGGAACCAAAATCACATGAACTGGAGTTTTAGATTTGCTCAAACAGCTTTGAGCAAGTTCGTTGGGCCTCCATTTTCATGTCCAAAAAATTGGCATATACCTATCTGCCCACAGAGCTATTGTGATGGTTAAATAGCCAATGCTTGTGGATGCAAATGTCTACATACAAGCTAAAAGTTTTCTTCTTTTGTTTGGTAGAAGGGAAAACTAGGGAACAGATATATTTGGTAGGAAATGTAATATTTGTAGGACTTTTTCCCAAGATATGTGCATGATTATAATTTCATTTGCAGATGAGAAATTTCTCTTTTATATATTATGCTTTATATAATGTAACTACCACTAGATGGCAAAGTTATTCTGCTCTCTGAGAGCAAGGATTGAGGTAGATCCTCAATCTTAATATTGAATCTTCTGCATTTTTAGACACCTCAAAAGAAAGTTGGAAATGAACTATGCACAGGAATAAGCAAATAATATTTCTATAGTTTTAATTCTGTAGTCCAGAAGAACAGCTTGGTTAATTTTAATAGTTTCAGTTAGAGTCCACTGAGTTATAATCAGCTGTACTGATCCAGCTGGCAGTTTTATTTCAACTTCAAGAACTGAAGCAGAAGAGAACTCGCTTTAGAAATTACTGAAACCTGGAACAGAAAACAGTAGTTAGAAATCCTGACTAGATTAACTATGTCTGCACTTCCCTTTTTTATCTTAACTTTCCCAGTGGAGGCCAACATACCTGACTACATTGGCCAGGTAACTCATATTTCAGCTGCATTAGCATAAATCATGTTTGATACCAGTTCAACTCTGGTAATTTGCTTTTATGTCCATCCACTCTAAAATACAAATATGTCAGGGGTGGTGGCTGACACTCTTAGAGCAGTTTCAACATGGTTTCTATTAGCAGCGTTCTTAAATCTAGTTATAAAACACAATCAAACAGGAAACAGCACCTTTGGCAATGCACCTCCAACTGGACCCCTGCATACATGCAGAGCTATGGAACCTAAGTTGCAAGTGTGGTGGGGCCATTGTGTTATAGCCAGGTCCCTGGACGTGGTTTCATTGGTATGAAAATGTTCATGTTTAGCATGAATCAAGCCTGCAGGTGAAAGCCTAAGGTATTTCCCTACCACAGTAACCAGCCTATAAGACTTTGAACTGAACCTCAAAGACCCATGCATGGTCTTAACTACATGCACAAACAAGTTGCATATAGTTAAGCATGCACTTAAGTTCCCTGAAATATCAAAGCTTTTTTCTGACACAAAGAAAAAAGAAAAAGGAGTTGCCTGTCTGGTCTCCTAGTTGAAATTAACTATAATTAGTCAGACGTAGTTGACAGATACTTGGCTGGGACGGTTTAGTCCCGGATGATCCTGTCTTGAGCAGGGGGCAGAACTAGATGACCTCATGAGGTGCCTTCCAGCCCTACTTTTCTATGATCCTATAATAGCAGAATTAAGCTCTTAATATAGTATTTTCAAATAAACACTGGTACACATGCCCTCCTTCTGTTCATTTGCAATCTATTAAAAGGCAGACCACAATCTTTCAGGCTCATTTAATTGTTTGTTTTGATTCTATTTACTATGGTCAAGAAACTTTTTGCACATTGTTTTTTTATGCTGATGACTTCAATTTAAATTTGAAAATACATGCATTTTGAATAAGATATGTCAACTAAAGTGTGGTAGATGAGATCCGTAACACCTTACCTGACCCTTGTTTGATGACAGGAGCTGATGGAGGTGGTGGTTTCTTAGGTCTCTAAAGTTAAAAAGAAGAGTGTTGGCTCGAAAGTGTTTATACACATTCAAGTTTTGATGTAATCAGACAACACTAAAAATAAATCAAAGCTTTTAGGTTTTGAGACAGTCATGCAGTTCCCCAGTACTACATTCATTAAGAAGTGTTACAATACAGGAATTGAAATTAATTAATAAAATGCCACTTTACTAGTTTTACAATTATAATATTATTTTAGGAAAAATACCCTCAATTGTTAAGTGGCTTCAGATCATTGAAAACAATGACTTTTTACATACTGAAGCAATCTATGCAATTAAGGTTTAACCTTGTAAAAAGCAAATACCACTTTGAAAAACAGGTGGGAATGGCAGGAGCTACAATGTGTTTCTTAGACTCAGCTGGGGCATAAATGCAGAAAGCAGGAAATATTCTAGAGGTTACACTTGTCACTTACACTATTGGAAAGAATAGGTAATAAGGCTTGCTGTGCCTGATGAAATGAAACTAATTATTCACATGAATGGCCTTCTATTTGTCATTTATTTCATTTGTTATCACCCTCCTTCCAATGGGGCTGCCACACTGTGCACGCTAAATAAATCTGATCACTGAATCAGTTCCAAAACGGTTTCTCCTCTCCTGGGGTGGTTTTTTCCTTTTGTGTTTATATGTATGTGTGTGAGAGCCATACTGACACATGCTGTAAATGCCTTGGAGTGAATGCAAAATCAAACAGGGCACCATGCCTGAGCAGATGACACACTAATTTAACACCCACACTAAAAAGAGAGGGGGGAAGAAAGGTCAAAGTGATGGAGAATAAAACTTCTCTCACAAAAAAAAACTAAGGAAATAAAACAGGTAATATTCCCACCACGAAATCCTTTTTTATTCCTGAGGAGGACAGTTTTCCTGCTTACTCTTTACACTCTGAAGGCTTCACATCATTGTCACTAGTCACCTGAACACCTGTGTAAAGGATACCCTTTTTAATTGGTAGCACTGGTGGCACTGCCTTCCTGTAAGGATCCACACAAATCGTGTTATTAAACCCTGTTTACAGTTCCTCATAATTTTGCCAAACGTTGACTACCTGGGCTAAAATTGTCTATCCCTCTTATCTGCTTCATGCTGAAACTTTTGGGAAAATTTATGTCAGGAATCTTTTAGCTAGGTCCAAGAATGAGACTCGTGGGGCGGGGGGGGGAAATCACTGGGTTGCTCATTAGAAAAAAAGGAATTTTTTGCTTGAAATGCCACAGCATCCCTATTATTTTGGTTTGAAATCTAACAGGAAATGGTTGTAATGTCAAGGCTATACTTCGCTATACTTGAGAACAAGCACCCAAATTTGGCCAACTTACACTCCTTTAAAAATTTAGGTTGCACAAACTCAACAGAGATATGCCAGAACCCAGACACAAAACTGTCCAACGTTTCTATCCTTAGAGACCATTCAAATTCATCACTGTCCTTAGTCTTGACCAGATGACACATGCATCATCCCCAAGAGTGACACAGTGTGCTCCAACCCAAGATTATGGGGACCAGAAGGATTACTCTGTAAAGACACATCTGTATTAGACTCTAGAATAAAGAAGAGTGATTCCCCCCATACAGCCTGTCTGGAGGAGGAAGCCATCTAATGTGCACTCAGAGGGATATTGTCTGAGTGGCTGGGACTGGCATGGAAAACCTGAGGATGGGACTGTGTAGGCAACTAGGGAGTCTGTGTATACTGGAGTAGAAGTAGACACTCTTCCAGATGAAAATGGAACCTAAGGTTTCTGAGTTTAGACAGGATATCTGGAAAAAGCTTCTTTACTATCAGGATAGTGAGGTGGTAGAATAGACTTAGTGATGGGAAGTTGTGGACTCCCTATCACTGCTAGACATATTTATGCCTATATTCTACTATACTATGGGTATTTCCCCCTTGATGGTTGCCCCCCCCCCCAGCTATATGTCTTGGGGTGTTTTGAAGCCTCTCTCAGAGGTACTGGGTGTTGGTTGGCTACAGCCAACTTTGGGGACTGACTGGGATATGCCAATACTCCTGCTGGGACCAAAGCCAGAGGTTCCTGGCTAGACGGTCTTGCCCCTCCACTTGGGGTCAGACCAATCACCATATTTGGGGTCAGGAAGGAGTTTTACTCTGTGGTCAGACTGGTATGGACTGTGGGGGTTTGCCTTCCTCTGCAGTGGGGGGTGGGGGCTTAGTCTCTACCTGGGATCTCTTAAGCATATACTGACAACATTTCATAAAAGTGGGACATGGCTGCCATGGTTCCCCTGCTTTACCTGTGGCAGGTCAGGATGTTAGGT